TTAGCCAAAGTTAAAGAAGTATTATTCAGTTTCTCTGTAAATTGAACATTGGAATAAAAGCACAATAGGGTTTTCTTAGAGCATTGCGATACTCTTTAACAAAAAAAAAAATTGTAAAGGGTTATAAAAGGTTTATGAAAATCTTACCTTATGGTCAAACTGATTGAAGTCAGAAAAATTTGCCTATAAAGTTTTACTAGGAATCGAATTTGACATCAATAGTACAGTATCGCAAAGGTGAAATTTGGCTTTGTCTCTTGAGCAAGATTTTCATGTAATATTAAAAGATAATGAAAGATTTTTGTTTGCCTTTTAAATAAACTAGAGGAAGAAGAAGGGAAAGAAAAGAGACAGATTGTTCGGAGAGTTAAATCTTCCCTTTATCAATGGGTAAAGGTTTTTGCCTTTTTAAAATTGTTGAGCTACCATTTTGGCTAAATAAATGACTTATGGTGACCTGGAATTTTATTTTATAATATCAAGTGTTTTAAACCTTTGATATTTGACAAACTTTCCAAAATCAGATTCTAAACATGTCTTTTTCTGACCTGATTAATCCTTTTAGATGGTAAAAACCCTAAAGTCCAAAAGAGACTTATTTGGTATATTAAAATCATACAGGAAGCATTGTCAAATATGAAATGGTGTTTGGCTTTCTTTAGACCATATTTGTATAAATATGTTATTGGTATGTGTTCTAAAATTATAGGAAATTCCTATAATGACTTAGTGTATGTTATCAGTGACTTAGTGTATATTATCAGTAATAATTATAATTATTTTGTAACATTGTATGCTACAGAAGTAATGAAATTTCCTTGTCAGTTGCATCTTTGACTGTGGCTGTCCTAAGACTTTTTGTCATTCACAGACAATTATTGTCTTGTTTTAATCCTCTTCAAATGAAGGTTTATAACCAGCTATAGGATACTGAAAATTACTCTTAAATGCAAGTCTCTGATAACTTTGGAAAGTGTGCCATTAAAATACAGAGGAAGAAAAAAAGCTTCCAAGACTCTTTTGGAAAAATAATGTGTTCTTAAATAATGGGCATAACAGAAATTAATTGCACAGACTAATGAAAGATGGAAATAATCTTTTTATGACTTTTTTCTTAAAATGTTGCTGATCCTTTCTGTTTTGTTTTTCAGAGTCAAGCAAACTTTTCTTTTGAACTATTTACAGCTTTTAACAATTGAGTAAAATATGTTTCTCTAAACAAAATTTGGAGCATATTTCTTTCTCTCTACCTGATTTATCCCAAATTTGAAAACTATTTGTCAGTATTCTTAACCTGTGGCAATATATTAATAATTATTTGCATACGTGCAATAAGAATCTGTTTTCTTTTGTAACAGGACACAATTGGAGAAACTGGTTTATATCAAGGCTTTGAATGGAACAGCATACTTCCAAATATAAACAAACTGCCTTAAGGAATCAAAGTTGACTGATAGAGCTAATAAAATGTCCTTGGGAAAACTGGCTTTATACCTTGTCTGTGCAGCCCCTGTACAGGGTTCCTGACATGTAGTAAGGAAAGAATGTCACTTTGTGACAGGTCCAGAAGCCCTAAGTTATATTGGGACCTTGAGAGGATCATACAGGCAATTGAAGGTATAAACCCATGGCTGGGCAAGGCTTTAAAAAGTCAAAGATAAGATTCCTTATGGAACAAGTTTCCATCAAAGCCAATTAAAAAAAAAAGAGCCTATATGATGAGATCTGATGAGGACTCACTCACTATCATGACCAAGGGGGATGATGCCAAACCATTCATGAGAAATCACCCTGTGATCCAGTCACCTCCCATCAGGCCCTACCTTCGACTTTGGGGATTATAACTGGACATGAGATTTGGTGAGAACACAGACCCAAACCATATCAGATAATCTTACTTATTTTGCTTTACTATTATGGAACATATTGCTGTTGTATACCTTGTGTGGGAATGGAGAATAAGCTTGCCCAACGTTTTCTGAAACTGAACATTTGCTAATCTTCCAGATACCACCTTTTGTTGGAACTCAGAGTTATGGATGGCCCTCACTATGCTGATGCTTTCTCACTGAATTCCTCTCTACCCCGAATACAAAAGACCTTCCTAGTCAGGTGGGAATATCGTTACCCCTACTTAGCCTGAAGAAGCTACAGAAGAGGAATCTTCCTACCACTACAAGATAAGCGTCCTCTTGTGAAAGGGAGGGGGGAAATATGTCAGAAGCATTGGAATCAGAGCAACTTCAACTTGAATAGGGGCTGGGTAAAATGAGGCTGAGACCTGTTGGGCAGCATTCCTGGGAGGTTAGGCATTTTCACCCCCTGGGGTCTGAGATGAGATAGAAGGTCACTAGTCCAGGCCACAGAGACCCTGCTCAGATAACAGGACGCCATATGAAATCGGGCCACAACCTGCCAAAAACCAAGATGGCAACAAAAGTGACCTCTAGTTGTCCCACTGCTCATTATGTCCTAATTATAATGCATTAGCATGCCAAAAAACACGCCCACCAGTGCCACGGCAGCTTACAAAGGCCATGGCAACGTCTGGAAGCTTCCCTGTGTGGTCTGCAATGGGGAGGAACCCTTGATTCCAAGAAATTTCTACCCCTTTTCCAGAAAGCTCATGAATAATCCATCCCTTGTTTAGCATATAATCAGCCATAAAAATAGCCAACCAGCAGCCCTTGGGGCCTTTCTTCCTTCCTTCCCTTCCCTCCCTCCTTTTCTTTCTTTTCTTTGCTCTTCCTTCCTTCCTTTTTTCCTTCCTTCTTTTCTTTCTTTCTCTCTTCTTTCTTTCTCTCCTTCCTTCCCTCCTTCTCTCTTTCTCTTTCTTTCTGAAGGAGTCTTGCTCTGTCACCCAGGCTGGAGTTCAGTGGCATGATCTTGGCTCACTGCAACTGCTGCCTCCCGGGTTCAAGCAATTCTCCTGCCTCAGTTTCCTGAGTAGCTGGGACTACAGGCACGTAATCACCATGCCTGGCTAATTTTTTGTTGTTGTTTGTATTTTTAGTAGAGATGGGGTTTCACCATGTTAGCCAGAATGGTCTTGATCTCCTGACCTCATGATCTGCCTGCCTTAGCCTCCCAAAGTGCTGGGATTACAGGTGTGAGCCACCGTGTCTGGCTTACTTCTCACCTTACTTCTTGCCTGCCCTCCCTCCCTCCCTCCCTCCTTCCTCCCTCCCTCCCTCCTTCCTCCCTCCCTCCTTCCTTCCTCTGTCCCTCCCTCCC